AACACCGTCTTATGGATAACCTATAAATAGGAGGAGCACTATACTACGTGTAACCATAATAGGAGAGCACCATCTTATGGGCAGCCATTATGGGAGGATCACTGTCTTATGGGCAGCCATTATGGGAGGAGCACCGTCTTATGGGCAGCCATTATGGGAGGAGCACCGTCTTATGGGCAGCCATTACGGGAGGAGTACCGTCTTATGGGCAGCCATTATGGGAGGAGCACTGTCTTATGGGCAGCCATTACGAGAGGAGCACTGTCTTATGGACAACTCATTCTTTCAATTAAACTCACTGGATTATCTGTATCTTGGGATGCCTTGTAGGTGTGCTGCCTAGTGGTAGAAGGTTCTTCAGAATCGTTCCTCAGAACCTTTTATGTTGCCCTTATTGATTCAACTAATTTTGCTCAAAAGCCCTTCAAAGTACCGTCCATGGTGAAGACCAAGAAAGTGTTGTAAGAAAAAAAAAAAAAGCTCAGGTCCCACCGAGATTTGAACTCGGATCGCTGGATTCAGAGTCCAGAGTGCTAACCATTACACCATGGAACCACGCGGAGTGAAGCTGCTGGTCTGTACACAGCTCTGGTCAAGGTATTTAACCACTTGCTGACCAGGTGTTTAGACCTCCTTCCCATCCAGGCCATTTTTCAGTATTCAGCGCTGCGGTACTTTGACTGACATTTATTCTGTCACGCAACGCTGTGCTGAAATTAATTTTATACCATTTCTTGGGGACAGATAGAGCTTTCTTTTGGTGGTATTTAATCACCACTTGGGGTTTTATTTTTTACTATATTCAGGAAAAATTACTGAAATTTTTTTACATTATGTTATAAAACAACTAATAATACCCACTTTTTTGGTAAAATATAAAAGATCGGGTCACGTCGGGTAAATAGACACCAAACATGTCAAGCTCAAAAATTGCGCGCACCCGCGAAATCACAAAAAACTAGCATACCCAAAATTGACCATAGGCGACGCTTTAAAAGCTTTTACAGCTCATCAGTTTCGTGTTATCAGTGATTGATGGCCCTAAAATTATTGCTCGATATGTAACATGTGCGGCTTAGTGGGCGCAATCGTCATTTTCGCAGGTATGCGCACCTGACGCATGTTTACATGCATGTATGTAGGGGTGGGGACTTTTTAAAAAAAAAGTGTTTTTTTTTAATTCTTTTTTATGTGTAACTTTTTTTCCTAGTTTTCTTTCACTTAACTTTATTGCTATCACAGAGGGGGCTAAGAAACCCCTATATGCGATAGCAAAAGATGTGACAGGTCCTCTTTATGGAGACATCAGGGGTCTCCAAGACCCCTAATGTCACCTAGGACCCCCCTGAAGAAGCTGATGAAGCACAGATCTGCTTCATCAGCTTCTCTCCAGCATCTGAAGCTGGAGAGTGACACGAGAATGCGGAAGTGATGTAATATACAACACTTCCGCATTCTGACAGCGGAGAGGGGACCGGAGGGAGCTCGTGTACCGGCCTTCCTCTGATCCCGTCAGAGTGGCACTGTGCTGGTTCCGGGCTCGCACCGGAGCCCGGGATCAGCGTGACAACGGGAGGAGGGGCCGCGGAGGGAGGGGGGGACAC